CCCTCCCAGCCAGTTCTCCCCCCCATCCCCCGCAACCCACGATCAAGTGTGTCCAGTTTTTTGGCAGGGTCTACCTGGCAACCCTATTTGCATGTGAGCAGCAGGTTGCCCACCACTCATTTGGTCGGTTTTCCATGTTTTCCTCTGCCCCTCCCTTCTCCATTTCCCCCCTCCTCCCAACAAAAAAGGTTCAGCCATTTCTGAGATACAGATTAGAGGAAAATCTGTTGGTTTGCCCTTGTTAAAAAACTTCTTACCGTTTCACGGAGAAAGTGAAAATGAGGAGTAACATTAGTTCGATCCAAGGGGTTTGATTCGAACTAATGCGTCCTGTCACACACTTTCACTTTCGAAACAGCTGTTGAAGGAAGTAACGCACCGGCGAGATCATGCTAATGAAACGCAGGATATTTAAATCCCCACTTCATTAGCAATTTCGGTCACCTATATTTGCATCCCTAGTTCAAACTAGGGAGCAAGTATAGACGTGCCCTCTGAGATTCCAGCAAGCAGTCCCAAGTAATAAGGAAGGGTGTCACAATGGATAGCATGAAAAGCAGTCCAGAGGTCAGCAAGGATGAAGAAAGAGAGAGAGAGAATGAGAGTCAGTTGAGAAGAACACACTTAACCACCAAGAGGTGGCAGATTCTGTCCCATGCAGGGTTGAGACCAATGTCTGCTGTGAAATTTTACATTAACTGAAAACCATTTTGTTTTGTCATTTTTTGTTCTGAATTTGAGAAAAGGAAGGAGTGAGAAAGAATTGCATGAGTATCAGATATATTTATTCCTTACTTTCTTAGGGTTTCAACTGTATTCAAGCCAATTTCAGAGAAAAGAAAAAAAATTTCATCCACAGAGTTCATCACTATTCCACGTCTTTTGAGTGTGCCTGTTATTTCAAAATATAATGGGCTCGCTATTCTGATATCCCTGTAAAACCTCATTCCACGAGGCATAAGGGACATTTTGGAATAGCGATTTATTTCGAAATAAGTGCTGTGTAGACAGCGCCAAATTTCAAGTTTCAAAATTAATTTGAAATAAGCTATGCAATTTGCATAGCTCAAATTGTGCAGCTTCTTTCGAGTTCTGGGTGCAGTGTAGATACACCCATCATGAGTGGAGACACTGATAGAAAATGGAGTTTTACCTGATTAAGGACCAGAAATGTTGACCCTCCAACTTTCTTTCAAGAGGACAAGATGCCCAGAGCTCCTATGCCTGTTGATTTTCCTTTCCTGCCTGTGGTGGCCCTGAGATACCTCAGAAGACTCCATTTTTTCTTCAGCTTTAAAATGAGGAGTTTTCGTAGTGTTTAGTTTATAAAATATTCTCCTGTGAGAATGGCAGCTCAATCACTGTGGGGTTGTGTTTAAGTGCCTTCTGGAAAGTAACTACCCTTTAAGCTGATTCAAGAGCAGTGCTACCCACTTTCATGATTTTGTCATGAGACTCGTGATAATTATTGTTTTTCTTAAAGCCCCAGCTCCTGGAGTCAAATGGACATGTGAGCCTATCCAGCTGAGCTTTGCAAACTATTCACATGATCTGTTACACAAAACTCATTATTTTTGTTTGTGCATTTTAAAAAGTCTTGTTTTAATGAGCCAACTGAAGTGTAAGAAGTTGCATGGATCATTGTTCACAGGCTGTCCCAAAGAGAGTACTATTCCTCCAACCTCCAGGAGCATGGTGCCTGGGGCCATTCAGAGCTCTTGGTCAGAAGGGCACTGCCAAAGGTATCCTTTACTAGGAAGTGTGTAAGAAGAATTAACCTTTGTAAAAATTGTGAAACTTGATTAAGAAAATGGTGGGCAGACATCAGGGATGCTGATAAAATCCCCTCCATTTCTTTTCCGTTCTTCCCCATAAGCTCTCTCTCTCTCGCCTGCCTGGATGGCATCTCAGCCAGTTAACTCTAATCCACATTCCAGTATGCCAGGTAAAAATTCAACCACAGCTGGCAGCCTGGAGGATTTTGAAGGCATCTTCTTTCAGCAGAGGCTTAAGTAGTATCAACTCAATAGTATTCATCACCAAACAATTCTGACAGGTTGTCATACCCCTTTTAGACCGTATGTCCCGCCATCCTTCCCTGTTTCCATTTATCAAGGTTTGGTGATGTCAGCCATTTTGAATGAAAATAAAATAATTATTTTTTTTCTATTTGCCTAGGGGAAATGCAACATGTTTGTGCTTTGAGACAAGTATAGAGCAAAAGTAGGAAAGAATAGAGGTTCTAAAAGATTT